GTGATGAATTTTATACTAATGAAAAACCATCCAGTTCTGCTCTTTCAAGCTGGGGCTGACTGGGGATGCTGGTACCAGCCTTCTGCCTAATGCCCGAGTCGACCATGCTTAAGCTTTGTAACAGTGCAATTGATGTGCTGCTCAGGCTGCTGGTACTGCAGTCAGCACTGAATTATTTTATGTCAATAGTAACTGTCTGGGGAGTTGCACTGCCTCAGTACAGCCATGAGCTTGCTGGCTGTTTGTGGGAAGGAAGGGGGTTAAATCCAGACAGCTCTGGTCAAGGATAGGGATTTTTACTTATTCCTGGTAACTTTACAAAAAATTGCTAGTTGGTTATGAAGTAAGGATAAATAACTACTACGGTCTGAGGAAGAAAGTGCAGGAAGAAAAGAGCAGGAATACTCACAGAAATTCTATTTTATGACATGTTATAAAAGAGGGGACAGAATTGCATGCTTTATTAATAGACGGCCATTGGTTCATGCCTGTGAAAACACAGGCATTGCTGAAGGGCAGTGTCTGAGCTGGCTACAAGCACACAGCATGCTGGAAAGTGCAGGCAGCATGACATCACTGCAGTCAGGGCAAAGACATTTCATGGCAAAAAGTAATTATAGTAGGTAGGTATTGTAACCTAGGTTACAATAAGTATTTTAACATTCATGCAGAGTAAAGCTGGCCCAAAATACACAGTGGAAACAGAGCCCACTGAATTACACCTACCTCTCAACGGCTCAGCCAACTCTCCGGTGAGTCTCTCCTGCTGTTTCCAAGTTCCCTTCTGGAGAAAGGTGCATGGCTGTCCTGAACTCACCGGCACGCTGTCAGCCTGTGTCCATGGTGAGCACACCTTGTAGAGACAGCAGACGCTCTGAACTATACCTTGCTGGAAATTTGGACTTCAGTTTGTCATATGGGTCCATTTCTTCCACAGTGCTGTCCTTCCCTTCACCATAAATCCACAGAATTTCACTGATTTCTTCTCTTCCCCTTCCTGGCTATACAGCCTCTGCCACATGACAGGGGGCCTGGCCCCCGCTGTGACTCTTTCACTACACCCTTTTCTATCAAGGGCAGCAGAGCCACTGCCCCTCTGCACCCCTGTGGTTCTGCAGGTTTGTGCCATCTCCACCACGTCTGTATTTCTTACCCACAGCAATTTACTAATTTCTCAGCCTGCTAGAACAAAATCTTTTCTCAAATGCCCCTCATTTCTATGGTGGGTGGATGTAACCCAAATGTTGGATGGATTTTATGGGGCATGCTGTGGGCTTTGCCTTGCTGACTTGAGCTGTGCTGACATATTTCACCTGCCAGCATAGTAGGAGGTTTCTACTCTGCAATCAAAAACATAGCAGACTCCTTATTCTGCCAGTTTTTCATTATACCAAATTCTGCATCCTCCAGTGATGTGGGAGGAAATACAAACCAGTGACCTTGGCTTCCAGTGACACCAGGATGCTCTAAAGGTCTGAAGTCTATCAGCAAAGCCTCTGTTCACAAAGCTCTGGCAGCTTCTTTTTGTGCTGCTGGAGCAGTGGTTGCATCCTTCCCCAGCCAAGACAGTTCAGCCTGGTGAATGGAAACAGGCAGATGTGGCAGAGGAGAGGTAGGAGCTCAGTCTATCTGCACAGTGTGGGCGGGGAAGAACTAAGAAAGGGGAGAACTGGCATTAGAATTAGAACTGATGTTGTAGATTTTCACATGGTGAATACTGAGTGTCTCAATAAACCTGGGGGAGTTGCCGTGCACATTTGGAGGTAAAGTTCAACAGCAAATGAGAAAAACAAAATAAGAAATCTAATGTTAAATGAGAGGATTAAACATTGTTTTCTTAACAACTTGAATCTGCATTTTGAGGGCTGTGTACTATGACCTGTGGTACTTGAAGCTGACAGTGTTATTATGAACATAAGGCTCCATTTGGTCACAACGTTCCTGTGTGCTCCTCTCCCTCAGACACACCCAAAGGCCTGTTCCTGGCACCAAGGACTCACAAGCCACCAGTGTGGGCTGCAGCCCCTCTGTGCAGAGCAGCTTTGCACTGCAGTGACTGCAAGCTCAAGGCAAACCCAAACATTTTCTCCTGCACTTCAGGGAACATTAACAATGGGCAAACAGATGCGTGCACAGTGCTGTCCCAGGCAGACAGGTGGCATTAGCAAGCCTGTATGGAGGCATCCAAGAGACCCTGACACAGCTGCAGAGAGCTGAATGCTGGAGGTCTCCATGTCCCAACTCTCTGCTGCTTTAATTTCCAGCTGATTGAAATGCCACCGAGTACTTGAGAGGCTGTGTTACAGCTGCCATGGTCCCCTCTTGCAGGGCACTCCACACAGCCCCTCTGTGCTGCAGAGATGTACTTGAGTCATGCACTTGGTGTCCCTTTAAGCCTTTGATAAGGGGTGCATCCTGTCTGTGGAAGATCAAAGAGGAGGAACTCCTTTTTCAGCTGTCCAGGACACACTGTCTGCTGTTGCCTGGCTGTGCTGTGAGTGTGGAAGTGTTTGATATCAAATGGCACAGAGCTCTGCCCAGTTGCTGGAATTTGCTCGAGCACAGGGAGAGCTGTCCTTTCTGACACAGAGCAGGGAGAGGGACAGAGAGGCAGCCCTGTCTGCCCTTCACTTCCAGGTGACCTGGGTGCCTTGGAGAGATGGTGGGTGAGTGACTCTGGGCAGGCAGGAGCCAACTGCAGGTAACACCTGAAACAGACTTCAGTGTAGGCTTGGACTTTGACACAGCTCCTTCCAGCAGTCTGGAAAGGGAGGGAGAGCAGTGGCACGACCAGTCGGGGCGGTTCTTGCTGACTCGACATAAACATGTTTTGAAGCTTCCAGCGCAGCCGGCAGGGAACACGCTGTCCCCGTGGGTTCCCTGCCCCTGGCTCAGGAGGTGCCAGAACAGCAGCCAGAGGCACCACCGCTTCCCGTGGCCTCCAGTCCTGGCTGTAGCAGGCTATGCTGTATATATGCAGCCACAGTTTGTCCTCATAAGAAAAAAAAAAAAAATAAAAGAGAAAATAAAAGGATGAAAAGCTGTAAGCATAACAAAAGATCCAGCAGCTAGCAGCAGACAGCAGCCATGGGTTTCCTGAAGGGTATTTCTAAGGTTTATAATTGTTCACTTCTTATTTACAGTGCTGTTTTGTATCCTTTTATCTAGCACTAGCTACCAAGTCTGCCCTCTGCTTAAACCAAGCTATTCATGTCCAAGTGTCTGGAGCTCCACTAACTATAGGAGGCAAGCTTTGCTTTTTTAGGTGCCCAGCCCCAAACAGCTGGAATAATCTTCCAGGCGTATTGAAGCAGGCCCTCACATTGTTTGGGGTTTGGACACTCTTAATCCTTTTCTAAAAAAGCCTCAGCTATGTGAAATGAGCACAAGCTGTGGCTAGTCACTGTTGTGTGCTGTTAAAGAGTTCTGTCCCTTTCTCTTCAGGCACGGGCAAAACCCCTTTATCTCAGTGGGGCTCTTGGTGGCTGGGGATGCAAGGACAAACTGCCCACTTTGTGGAACAGGGACACACTTATACCTCAGACACAGTGATGTCTCTGCACCCGGACTTCTGCAGAGTGTATCAGGGCTTTTGGTTTCACCTGGCTTGAACAGAGAGGCTGAGAGCTGACCTCCCTCTGCTCAGGGGTGTTTGGCTCTCAGGTTTCTCCAGTATAAGGGCTGTACTGCATTAAATAAGGAGGATGAGCTGAAGCCAGAGCTCTCAGCCAGTTCAGTGTATTTAAATTGGCCATATGTGCATATACACATTTATGTTCAACATGTCTTGAAGGTCTAAATGTCAGTCATATACTTCTCTTCCTCTCCTAGCTGTGGCTCTTGATTTTAAACTCCTCCTGCACAATGAGTGCCATCTTTCAGATCCCTTGGCAGGTAACAGAGTGAGGCCAACCTCTTGTCTGCTCTTGCACCCTGAAGGACTTAAAAATCCATTTTCTTGCTGTTTTCTAGACACAACTAGGGGTATGTGTGTCTCTCTTCTACAGATCAGCAACTCAAATGGTTTTGGCTTTATCCACCACTTATTGGTGTCAACAGGAAGCTTGTCACAGATTTCAGTGGACACGATGTGAAGTCTAAAGGTGAACTATTACTACAATCATATTGTTTAATATGTTGATCCCACACTATATTACACTCTTTTATTGACTGAAAAAGAGTTAACATATGTTAGGAACATCACAGAAAAGAGCAGGGAATTCGATCAAATTCGATCTGCATTTCTCAGACATGCTTATAGACAAGCTATTAACGATTCATTTATATTCTGTATTCCATGCCCACATACTATAAAATAAGATTAACTGAATAACTGCTTCCGAGTCTATTATTCTATTATTTTTTTACTAATCTACACTAAAAAATACTTCCATAAGTGAAAGTTTACTGTAATTTATACCAATATACTGTTATTCTCCTAGAAATGTTTACATTATTTAAAATCTCCAAACTTTCTAGTGTAAATATACTTCAAATAAATGCTGAAAATAATTTATTTTACTCTTTCATTGTCAACAGCTTTGCTGGAATCTTCTTCTGCTCTTATGAAAAGAATTAGCCCTCTTCTGAAACAGCACCCTGAGATGAGTAGACCTTTTCCCTCCAAAACTCTCATTTCCTAAGGCAGTGGATATGTTTATTCCTGGGAAGAACTGGGAGAATCCCCAGTTCTCCTCTGCTTTGTTTGACTACTGTAGCTCAGATTTAAAGTCAAGACACATCCTCTCCCTTAAGATCAATACTCAGAGGTGAGGAATATCATGCTGCTGCAAAGGAAAAGGCAAGAACAATCCATTGGAGAAGGATGGTAACATCTCTTTCAAGAAGCCCTGAGTACTATAATATAATTTCCAAGGTCTGTCTGCATCAGTTTATGGCACTCCCGTGAATAATTCTGCCATTGTTTCAGCTGTTCTTACATAGATGTTGACATTCAAAAAGCAGAAGTCTGGGAATATGCAGAAGGTGTTATAATTTGATTTTTTTTTTCCTCAAGTGAACTGACAATCCAGTGGCCTTGAAAAATCATCAAAAGCTTTTGGAAGTGTGACATGTCTCCCAAAGACTGGTCCCATCCTTTGGCTACAGAAGATAGGCTCAGAGCCTGCAGAGTCAGGAGTAGGAGGAGTAGAAAGTAGCAGGAGTAGGAGGAACGCAGGCAAAAGAGGGCAAGGCTATGGAGGAGAAGCACATGAATGAATTTGTACAGCAGAAGACTTCTGGACATCCCCATTAATAACGTGAAAAATGAAAACTTCAGGTGTCCCTGGGCAGAGCTTGGAAATGAAGCTTTCTTCATTGTGTATTTATGTAAAACCTGAGATGAAGCTGATTAGAAGCAAGGGAAAGTTGTGAGATCAGAATGTTTTATAACAGGCGCTAGCTAAGCAGAAACAAGTGCTTCTGTGTCAACACAAACATAGTTTTATGCCTGAGCAAACAGCTTCCTGTGGTCTGTGAGGCAATGACACAAGCCTGGTAACACTGAGAGTGGTCCAAACTGTCTGATCCACCCCTGTGTGAAGGTTGAATTCCACCTGTAATGCCCTTCGCGAGTAGGGGTGTGGCGCTGGGTCACCAATAGTCTGCAATGCGTGTTACTAACTCTGCTGCATGCCACAGTGATTGGAGGAGACCACAAGCAGCCCTGGCAGGCATTCAAACCTGTTTTCCAGTTAATTTGTTAAAAATCAACCCAGAGTTTTGTGGGCAGTAAAGCTGCTAGGAAGACAAAACCACTCTAAGGAATAAACACTACAAAAAAGAGCTTTCAGTGCATCTGATTTATCAGTATGCTCATGGCATTTAACAATCAGCAACAGCTACAGTTAGCTCCTAAGTTTCTGTAAAAGGTCTGCTCAGCAATTGGTATTTGGTTGTCCCAGGAGTAGTAAACATGTCTCAGAGCTGTCTGGCAGCACTGCTGCCCTGTGGGGTGCAGAGCGATGAGCCTCATGCTGTCTCCTGCAATCATGTAGCCCTAGGACCAGTCCCAAACCCAGACAGATCAGCAATGTCAGTGATGACAAATGCACAGAGGCAGCTCCAGGCTGACACAGTTTGTGCCAGCAGCCAGCTCATCTGCAGTGATCCCATTGGCATTTGCTGCAGAATAAATGCTGTCTGGGATTTTCCATTATATATCCACCCTGGCTAGCAATGACACAGCAGCAATATAATTTTCAGCTTTGTATTTCCATTTCCCACAACCACACAGAAATAGTAAGAGGACTTGAGTCATTTACCTAAACATAAATATTCACTGATACTTTAGAAAGCCAGGATTGCCCATACAAGGTATTTGCCTGAGACTAGCAGGCATGACAAAGGACTTGTGGAAGACTTCTGTCTTCCAGAGTGACAGATGAGAGATAGGGAGAGTATTCCAGCCTGCCTCAAGTAGGACCAGGTGTCTATTTTTAGGTAACTGAATGAGCTGGAAGCCAGCTCACAGCTGATGCCATCTAAATACAGGTCCCTGGAGATGCCCCCATGTCTGGGGTTCCATTACAGTCTGTTGAACTCTGCTGCTGGAGACAGGATCACTGTTCAGGCACCAGAGGTAGATGTCTGTTTCAGAAGAACTTTCTGGAGTTCTCTGGATACACTGAGACTGGTCATGAGAGGCAGCTGAGATATCCAACTCACACCTCAGCACACACACAGACATGTACACAGTGCCATGATAAGGTGTCGTACTTGCTGTGCCGAATCCCATGCCAAGGTTCTCAGCTTTCAGGTCTAGTCCAGTGATGTGACAAAGTACAGAAAGCCCAACCTATAACAGCAATGTAAACAAGTCTCTTCTTTTTTTCTTTTTTTTTTCCCCCTTGATTTTCTTATTCAAGCCTTGCAAACAGGGCTGTATAACATTAATGTAACTTAAAGCATACCTGTTCTGAACTGCTCTGTCACATTCCAGGAGAATGTTCAGCAGCTCAAAATAGTGGGATTGGGGGTCACTCTTGCTGTGTTTCCTGCATCACAGTTCTGTCTGCATTTTCAATTGGCCGTGACTCCCAGGAAGGCAGTGAGACTCATTCCTCAGGGCTGTGCCTCTCACGCAGCAGGACATCAGACAGATGCTTTCCTTTTTTTCCTCTTCCTATTAGGAACTGCAAAGCAAGTGTGACACAGGGAAATTTACACTGGCCAATTTGTTGCACTCTGCTTTGATTTTCTTCCATAGCTGCCGAAGAATATTGAGGAGAGCTGATGAGGAGCAGCTCCTGATCATACATATACATACATACCTCCCATACATATTTTCCTGTTTATATAAAAATCTTACATTATGAAGAGCCCTCAGGATATTGAAAGACCCAGGACTGTGTTCCAGTACTTGTTTGACACCCAGCATTTGAGACTGAGAGGAAGAATTAAGACTGCCTGTGGGTATTTCTGCCCTTTCTTCCCTGTGAGGTGAGTGGAGAGAAGCAGGACTGACTGAAGCTGCCTACCAACAGGTCCTTTCTCCTTGCTGACTGTGAGGAGTAGCAGCATCTAGCCAGGTCCTGAGTCACGTCATTCTGTCTGAATGTGTACAGCAGCACAGATGTGCAAAGTCACCTTAGGGCCTGTAATTGAGGGTCAAGACATAGACATTTAAAACTCTGTTGTCAGTTCTTGGGAACTACAAACCCAATGATGTTAATGCAGAAGTGTGCCCCTTATCCTTCACCTTCACCACCCCCAAAAATTAGCTGAGCTGAGGGATCCTAAACTGCCAGGTTGTACCTCCTGTTTGCCAAAATGGCTAAAGAACTTAAGGGCAGAAAATTCTTTGGTGTTTTACCTGATCCTCTAAATTCATCATTGCTGCCATAAGGAGGGGAAAAACCCAACTAGTTTTCCAGTCCAGTAGTGTTTCTCATCAAAGGTAGCAAAGCTTGTTTTGTAATAATTCTTTGGGAAGGACATTATTGCATGTAAAGGGCAAAGTCTGGCGGATTAAAAAACTTGGTTAAGTGATAGGGAAATGATAATAATGAACAACTGTGTATCAAGGCTCCAGGGAGATTAATCTGGATATGTGCCCAAGGCACCAGTAACACTAACCAGTAATCAGTGTACACTTTTTAGCTAATGATCTGGAAGAGAAAACACAGGGTGCTTTGGCGTGGTTTCTGTTGACATCAGGAACCTGGCTGGGTAAGGTCCCAGTCAGAGAGCAAAGGGCGAAAGTGCAACACCTGCTTATCTCCTGTGAAACCAGAACACTCTTCAGCCGTGGGTAAATGTGCTGATGTCAGTAGCCCCCCTGACATGCCAGCAACAAGCCAGCCCCACATGGTGACCAAGAGCTGGTGCATGGCCTCCTACCCACTGGGCTTGTGCAGGGGAAGGAAAAAAACCCACCTTTTGCCTTCTAGGCTGCAGGAGCTTGGCTGGGACTCATGGTCTGTGCACAGTGTGCTGCAGAGAGTCCTGGCTCTGCTGGGGCCATGTGCTCAACAGGGAGGTGCACCGACAGCAGCTTGGGTCCATCCTGCTGCACTTGGGCATCTCTGCTCCCAAGCCTGCCATAGGCAAGGTATAGAATGCATGTATGTGTATTTCTGCTTCGAAAAACCTGGCAGGAAATATGCAAGTCCTGTCTGTAAAGGCTGCAGCACGGTAAAAATTGTGGGAAAACACAATGGGTGTTTTTGTTGTTGGTTTCCTTTTGTTTGCTGTAGCAGTTTACTGAAGTCCCTGGTGTATTTTAGTTTGGGGTTGTTTGTCCCAACACACCTGGCATACTGGTATATGTCAGTGGTACATTTCTGTAATTGCAAAATGCAAAAACAGGATGCCATGTAATCTGCTTCCCTGGCATTACAAGTCAAAACTCTAAAGAAGGTGAAACCCTTGCTAAGGAGGGTAAACTCAGGCTGTCACTTTTAGACTTGCTGTCAGACACCTGGAGTCAGGCTGGTTTTCATCTCTACTTTTTTGGGTAAAGTATCTACATATATTTTTACAGTTACTCTGTCTTCTTAAAATTAAGGGAGATGCAAGATGGCCCCAGGCCAACACAAGTCTGCTAAAGCACCAGTTGTACAGGACCTTTAGGTCATGACACCATCTGATCACTGCCATTTTCTTACACACCAAAAGCTACAAAAAGCCAGCTGTCCCATTGCTTCAGAGCTGAAAGACAGCCAACCCTTTCCTCTGTGGGAAAACTTTTCTTTTAGATATAAACCCAGTGATAGATGTCTTTTTTCTTAGTCAATTTTCATACTCTTTAAAAACTGAACAAAAGACAATAACTTCAGAGCGTAGAACACACACTGATGGAACATTCCCAATTCTCATCTCAAAATGAATACCCTCCTAATTAAAAAGAGTAAGGAGATGGGTAAGGTGATGCACTCATTTTAGGTACTGTGTAACCTCTCAACCAATGCAACATGAAGCATAAGCAGATCATTCTTCCAGTGTTTCTCCCCACTGCCGTACCTGACATGGTATGAGTGTTGTTTTCCTCAACTCCATTTCATAAGACTTAAAATAAAAAGCCCTTGCTCGCATCACACTTCTTAAAAAACAAAGACACAGATAAGCATTTAAAACATTTTATTATAAAACTATTTCAACATCTACATCCAAGTAAAAGACTTGAAACTACAGCTCTGCTTTCAGAATAAAAAGTCAGTGAATGCTGGAAAAGGTGCTGTATTATCTAGGTAGATAGCCTAGATACTACACAGATTTCATGTGTGTTCCTTAAGTGCTTCACAACCTCTGCCTGCATCATGAATGTTCCACAGCTTTGCTCTGCAAGCAGCACCACAAACATTTTTGCAGCACATATGTGCCTCAGCTGCTTTGAAACAGAAATTACTAACTGAAGCAGCTGCAGCTGTATTACAAATGTATCACCAGATCATAACTCAGGTTCAAGCACTCCTGGATGCAGACAGAAAGGTATAAATTGTGTGTACTTGACAACAATGACTATTTTGGTATGTGTTTGTAACCTTGTATTCCATTAAAAAAAATCAACAAATACTCAGTTACTTTATGACAGTGAAAGCAGCTTTTTTTACACCTCTATATTCCAGACAAAGGTATTTCCTTTTTATTAGCCATAGCATTCACTGAGCTGAGCTCAGATGCATGATCTGGTGACTTTTGGTGACTGCAGCTTATTCACCAGGATAAAAACAGCCAGATGCAGTACTAAGACCACCACGCTCAGCAGTTATCATTAATACACGTAAAAGTAGTTTTTAAAATAAATGAGGCATACCAAAATATATATTTTTTTTCAATGAGAAATATATCTCAACAGGACTTCAAGAATGCAAAGGTAGTTTCCTATTAAAAACCATTTTAGATTCACAGTGGAATATGGAGTCATTTTCTGCCCAACAAATAGAAATCTCTAATAGAAAACTGTCATACTGAGCAGGATGTTTTAATGTATTTGTAACTTTTTGCAAAGTATCACATAAACAGAAAATAATATGATAATTAGTTTTTTTAAAAAATTCAAGTAGTATTCTACAGCCCTGATGAACTTTTGACTGGCCAGGTTGGCAGCATACAATAGCTTAGTATCTGTTAAAGTTTACCTTGCTTACAAAAGTGAAAACACACAAAGAAGATGGGCAACAAAGAAGCTTACTGCGAATGGAACATTTTCTGATCAACCCTCTCTCACTGACATTTTTCCTGTGGGAATTCCCCCTATTTTGCTCTTCATAAAAGCTTTCCTGTAGTTTTCAGTGCTGTTCACATTTTGAAACATTTCTTAAGCCCTTTCCATTGCAATGAACAGTTCTTAAAATAAGTTCTTACGTTTCCAACACAACTCCTGAAAACCTTTCCTACAGACCTTCAGTGCTCAGCCACAGCTTTCAGGAGATAGGTTCCCTTTGTACATCTTTGGGCTGACATGGTCCAATACAAATTTGAAAAAGACAATTGGCAGATTTTGGTTTAGTGTATTGAGCCACTAATCTAACAGCACAACAGAAACAAACAACAAGACTGTGTTTTAAACAAGCTATTCTTCACAACATGCTTACACAATACATGTCACCGAAACCTTTCTGTTCAACTTGCAATGTCTGACTTCAGTTCTTGGAAAATCCTAACTGACTTGGCACACAGAATACAGGGACATAGGCCAGATGTACCCTAATGTGAGAGCCGTTACAACCAAGTAGCTTTCCATTTCCTTCCAGTAGCTCTTAAAAATATCCTGATTTTCTTCATTACCTTATGCATAGAAGCCCTACTTGGCTGATTTTCCATGAACAGTTTAACATAAAATATCTAGCAGTGTGACTCACAGAGCAAGGCATCACTTAATATGAAGATCACTTAAGAATTATTCCTGGAATAGCTTTTTTTTTTTTAAAAATGGGACTGCCTTATATATGGCAAACACTTTCTCTCTACCTTCCAGGGTTTCTCTTCCAGTCAGGCTGTACTTGAATGCTGTTTGTATCTTGCTACAAGACTGCCATGTTAAGTGGATCTTTTCCAAATGTTATAAATACAACTTTAAAGTATGGATGCTATCTATCTACCTGAGGAGTTCTGTAATAAGATAAACTGCTGATAACTATTCTAACAGAAAAATATGCATCAGCATAACTCGTTTATCAGTCAGTATTAAGAATTCAAGCATTAAACAGGATTTTAAAATTGCACACCCCTACCACAAGTCTTTGATCATAGTAAAAAAATAGCTTGATTTTTCTCTATATATAGCTCTTCTTTAAAGACATATGTGCTCCTATTTTTCTCATCCTGAAGTCCACAGCAAGGTTTCAGATTCAGTGCATACTAGGTTTATGATACTCTTCTTTTTCTTCTGCTAGTCCTGAAACTTGCTTGTTTGAAGGTAGATGAATACTTCCAAATGGTGCTCTTGAAGCCAGCTTGATCCCCTGGGATGTCTCAATATCCACTTCTCTTCAGGAAGCTGCACTCTGCTTAGCCATATTCTTTGGGTCTTTACTTGGGACACACCAGTCATCTGCCTCTGAGGTAGCCTGGTAATGCTTGGAAGCTGATTTATTAAAAACTGGGAGTTTTTCTATTGATTCTGTTGATAAGGCCTAAAAGTCAAGAAGTAACAGGTTAATACCTCTCAGTAATGTCACTTAGCAAAAATTCATTCAGCATGCCTGAAGTGTTAAGCCAGTGACACTAGAAAACAAAGTTATTTACACAAATGTTTCCACTATAGATGTTGTAGTTTATGTGCTTCAGCATCTATGACTGATTCGGGTAATTTGGTAGGACAACTGCAGTAACATCTCACTCTATTTATGCATTTTTCATAGGCCTTAAGCAGTAGCCTCTAACATGTTTTCAAGATAGTCCAGGAATGCATGGAAAAGGACTTTGATCTGCAAAATTCCAGTGAAAATTTTTCAATAGAAGTGTTACAAATATATAGCTGAACTGTCTCTTCCTTTCCTACTTCTGCTCTGATTGTTCTTCAGTGTTTTCAGATTAGCAAGGGGAATTCAAAGGAAGTTTCTCCCATGATTAGGCACAGAAAATAGAGAAAAACATGTAGTGTTGCTGGCAGGTTTCTTATAGAAACAGCAGTGCAAGTTATATGCCCAGTATTCAAAATTACTGGTAGCACCTTGACTCATTAAGGATTTAGTTTATACAGACTTTCTGGTTTTCAGAGTAAACAAACCTGATCTGTTGCTCACACCTTTACTTCACTCTCTTCAAGTACTTAGTATTACATGAACAAATAGGTAACACCTTAACACAACCTGAAAACCAACAGGGTTCTCACTAGTAGTTGTTCAAGTAGACTAGTTAAAGCCAAGTGACTTTTTTGATACCAGTTAAGAACCAGTTATTAAATCTGTCATTTCTCAAGAAAAAACAAGAGCGACTCATGAGCAGAGAATCTGTTTACCTTAAAATGGTAACAAGTACTTATCCCACTGCATTAATGGCAGTAATCTTTTATTTAACTAAATTTAAATACATACCTTCAAGTAGATGATAGCATCTGTTCCATAGCCACATATGGAATAAAGATTTAGATCTCCTTGAAAGTACTTAGCATACAGACGAGAAATTGGCAAGCCATACCCAAAGCCAGCCTAAAAATAAAGTACAATATAAAATTAATTATTTTTTTACTAGCTCTAATGGCTTCAAGTTAAACAGCTGGAAAGTCTTTGGAGATTTTTAAGCTGTTAAAATACCCTTTGAATTTCCTCTTCTCTTAGAAGAAAACATAAATCTCTAATCAGTTTCATAAAGAATGCTGAAGCTGACCGTTAAAAACCCAAAGTCACAAGACAAAAACTCTCTATGGAAGAAGGAGGGTCTATATATATATATATGTCCCACTCTTGCATGTTAACTCTCAGTAATTTTTTCCCTCCCTTGTAATTGCTAGTACCACTTGATCAATAAAAGAAGCTTTCTATTGGGAGACAAACATAATAATCTAAAAGACTGTTCCAGCTGTGCTTGCCTCCAGAAACACCGCATGATCTACAGTAAGTTTGAGGTCTGAATGGAGAGTGAAGACAAAGTAAATTAGTGTCATTGGAATGCAGGAACAAAATGATGAGGGGGTTATATTCAGGTTGTTTCTTTATGCCTTTAAAAGCATATTTTTGTCCACTAGCTAAATACTAAAATTCTGTTTCAGAAAGTGTAAATTCATACTTATGGGGCACAGTAAATCTTTGAATACCCCACAAAACAGCAGGATGGACACAGTGCTTCATTATTAACCCACCAACACTTACAACAACCTAATTGCAACATGAGCATTGAAAGTATCTTACCAGAGGGGTATTTCGAGCATCATCCACGTTTGGCCTCGGTGCAGTGGAATACATGTAGCTAAACAGCCGCTCAATCTTCCTCACTGGAACACCACCCCCTCGGTCTGCAA